AAAAAAAAAAAAAAAAAGTAAATTTAACATGAAAAAATCTGTGAATGAAAAAAAAATTATGGAGCCACACCACACCATATAATCTACTATGAAAAAAAGGAGGAAAATAATACAAATTGCACAACACTCAAATCTTTTCACACTTTTAAACACCCTAGAAGACTCAGTGTCCCCCACTTGTATTACTACATAATTCAAAATTTTATACCAATAACCACAGAAAGAACTGCTTAAAATAGACTCCTACTTTGTAGTGTTGCGACACATCAATACAACATTATGATGCTACAACCATACCGTTGCGATACTTTAATATGATGATGTGGCGCCACGCTCTTGGGTTTCAACATAGATTTTCTTTCAGGTAGTAGTATTGCGGTGCTGCTATAGTAGTGTTGAGGCCCTGCTACTGTAGCGCTATGGGTACAACTACGCTATGGGTACAACTACAACTATAGTAGTGTTGGGTTTCAACATAGATTTACTTAACCTTGTAAGGTCTAATTCTCCCAACTTTCATTTTTGACAACCACATCATTAGCCTCTTCATCTGCACTTGCTCATAATATTTGTATGCTATGGACCCGTAGTGATAGGAGATGTGGGCCATTAACACTTGGTGTTTCGGTAAAAATAATTGCATTTTTATTCATTCTACAGTGGCCATTTGCTCTATCAACCTAGTCACTTGTTTGGCTAAATTGTGAGGGATTTCATTTTCAACAATTTAGTTATTATTTTCTTCTTCTTGCCATTTTCTTGATCTCCCATGAGCACCAAAGACAACAATTTCTTCTCCAATATCTTGATATCATCATCTCTATGCTTGTACCATGCATCGAGAAATAAAGTTTTTATATCAATTTGACTATATTCAAATCTCCTAATGTTATAACATGAGTCCACAATGCAACAACAACAACAACAATTCCTTATCCTACTAAGTGAGGTCAACAATATGAGTACACGATAAGAGATTATATATGTGGGTAAATGTTTTTAATTAATTTTTAAGGAATCCTAAAGATGCATTAATACGAATTAAGGTAGTCAATTGTTCGCCTGGTAGGTAGGCATTCAGGGAGGTAGGTAGGTAGGTATACCTAGAGGAGGCAGAATTAAAGGTGAGACTTATAAACACTTCTCCATTTTTTTTTTTTTTTTTTTTTTTTTGTGCATGCAGAAATGGTGGTCCCATGCAAAAATGTCCGCACATTTTTTCTATTAGAGCACACTAAGCAAAGCTGGCTTTTATTCATATAAATTATACAGATAAAAATATACGTACAAATGTTGATCAATAGATTGGGACATACATTCACCTATAAATGAAAATTCATTTTGATTGATAAAGAAGATGAGTTATGATGGAAAACCAATGAGAGAGGATTGAGAGAGAGAGAGAGAGAGAGAAAGGCTAAAGAGTGATATTAGTTCACGTGTGAATAAGTCAGGTGGTGTAAGGGAGATTGATGGTGAGTAATGAGAAGCAGACAAGTTGGTCGAAATTAAGCAAACATTTTTCATTAACCCTTCATAAATCTTACAGCCATAATGTGTATCCTTTGTTTGTAAGAAACTTTTCATTAACAAAGTGATCGTGCTTTTCTCCTCTCCTTATCCATTTGTAGTGCTGCATCTTTCTAAGCTTGATCAAATTGGTATTAGAGTGGATGTCTTCATGCATCGGATCATGTGTTCCAGAGTTGTCAATTGACCATAGTAAAGGAGTTCCTTTGCCAAATAAAAGACCTCATTTACTTCAACTTTCCAATCACAATTTGGTAAAAAGTTCATTTATTTTCTTTTTGAGCATATAAATGGCTTTAAAATGGTAGATGGATGAGAGCGTGAGATTTCTTTTGTTTGGGTGAGCAATTCTCCAACTGTAATGGGTGAGTGAATCTCCTTGAGTGAATGGTTCCCTAAATATTATGGCAAGCACGTCCCTATAAATTTGAGTTAGTGAATCCACAGCTGTGTGATTTTTCTTTCACAGCAATCAAATTCCTCCTCTTATCTATTTGCAATTGTATTTCATTTTTTTATTTAGCTATATTATGATGATTGTTCTTTTACTTCTTGGTGGCAATGATGATAGAGGGGGAGGGTGTATTGTGTATATGTTGCAGGTCATTGTCTAAGATGTGGTATTTTTGTAAATTTTCTTTTGTTTGAATTGTTGGATGGAAAGCTTGTGTATCCTTTGTTAATATATATATGGCTAGAGCTTGCCAAGCTATTAAGATGGAGTGCTACTTATCTATTTATGCTGTTATCTTTGGTATTTCACAACATTATTCTTTAAGGAGTAATTGAATAAATTTTGAGTGATACGTAAGCAGCCATCATTTAATATAAATAATTGATTGAAATGGGATACATGAGTTGCTGTCTAAACTATGTATTGAGTAAGGTTGATTATTTGGGGTGATATTTGAAGTTCTTCTGGCTTTCCTTACATGCTTCAAAACATCTCCAATTACATACCTTTACTTTGTTTTTCCCTTTAAAACTCATCAAATTTGTGCTTTTTTTATCTCTAGTTGCTACGAGGACAAAGTTGGAATATAATCCATTCTTATATTTAGTTATTAGCGTTCATTTGGTACATTTTATGTTGTTCTATGTTTTATGAAATAAATTGTCATTTACTTTCTCGAAGATACATGAGTTGAACCACTAGGTTGTGAAATCCATGGATTGTCAATTAATCCTGTATTTTCAAAACAAATTTATGGTAGGCAAGTTTTTCAAGTGTTATCAGTTTAATCTGATAAAATTGCTATATTCATCCCTGGAGACATCTTTTTTCTCTTTGAAGGCATTTTTAAAATTTAAAGGTTCATTCAACTCTAGTATCTTAATACAGCAAGTGATAGAGGTGCGAAAGAGAGGATTTTGATGGGTGCTGGCTCTTAATGCTTGTGGTTATTAAGATCTTAATACTGAAAGTCTAAGGCCACTTTTGAGGGGAAGGCCCATTTAAAGTTAAAGGCTAAAAACTCCTTTATAAAATTACAATTGATAAATTATATGTTACTGTTTGAATACAAAAAGCTTTGTATGCTTGTTAACGCTATTAATTATCACATTTTAAGATAAAATTACTATAATAGCCCATATGACCCCATTAACTCTTATCAACGCATTAATGCATCACTTGTTTCAATCCATGCGCTGAGCTCTGGAAGTCTTCCGAAATTTGTGAATCCTATTTAAAAATCTCTTCTGCACTTCTCCAACCTCATCTTCGGTTCGGTGTTTGTGGAGCCCAGGCTATGTTTTCCAGCTCCAGTTCTTTTAAGAGGCCTCTGTTGGCTAGTGAGGGCAGCTTTTAGTGTTGTGAGACGAGTTCTGTTTCGATTTTCCTTTTCTTCTTGCTTTTGATCTACTGCAGAGCATCCATCGTACTGGTGCAGGATGATAAATGCCATGTTTTTTTTGATTTTTTTTTTCTTGCTGGGGTTTGATTCTTTGAATGCGCCTGCGAAGTGGAATCATGGAATAAATTTCGTAAAGCTTTTTAGATTTGATGCTTTTGGGATTCCTAATCTGTGTAACCGAACAATTTAGATATAATTTTTTTTTTCAGTTTGTCCTCTCGTACGGAGCTTCTCTGCTCCTTCCTCACTTATTTCACATTTAAAGTTTTGTTCGTTGTATCCAAAGGAAATATCTCTTAGAGACAAATTAGGCTTATCGATCTGGAAATCATTTGAGCTCGTGTAGGTATTTCAAACATTTATTTTCGGAACAACGGAACATTTGCGCAGCAGGACCGAAGCCCTCTACATCTCGTGTTCTGAAATGGAGAAAAAATATTTGTGCGGTTGACATGGCTCATGGAAATGGTGATGTACCAAACAGGCGCCAAGATTTTCATTGCTGTTCTCTGCAACTGAGCGGTGCCCTGCCTCGTTCTCAAAGGAGCCTAAATACGATAACTTTGATGATGGATACAATAGTGTTATGATTGGTCATGGGAAGGTGGGTTCATGGCTTGGTTTGTGGTGAGGCTTAGGATTTGGATTGGAGTGTTCAGAGAGGAAAGAGGGGTCTTGAATTCCAAGTTTTTGGGCGAACACTATAAAGGAATGGTTGCAAGGGTTTGTGGTGGAGGAATATGAGAACTAGTAGGAGTTAGTGGGAGTTTCAATTGAACTTAAAAGGATGACTTTCTAAACTCAACAAAGTTCAAGATTTTTGGATCGACCAATTTGCCTCTCCAGTTTGTAGGGGCAACTAGCTTTTTCTCAAGAGTTTTGCATAAGTGAAAGTTATTCTTTTCAACAATAATAAAACAAGAGATCATGACTAATTTTTATAGTCGGTTTCCAATCCATGGGGAGCTGAATTTCTCTTCTTTTGAAGATTAATTTGGTTCACTTGCATCACTTCATATGGATTGGTGACATGCAAAATAAGCAAAGGAAAAAATTTAATTAAAAATATATAAAAAGATATAATTGTAGATTTTTGCCAAGCAAAAAAAGAATGGAAATTTTTCCTACAATAAATTTCCTGTTTCCCTTTGGAGGAAAATTTGGAGTGCTTTTCATTTACTGTAGAGTGAGTTGTCCAATCTTCAATTAATTTCCGATCTTTGTGCTACATCAACATGTTTATTTTGGGATAGCATACCTTGAGGAAATGTGTTGGGATTGTGTTCATGGTAGAAATATTGGCCACAACATCTTAAGTGAGTTTTTATCACGTTTTTTCCTTTTTAATAAAAGTTGTGGAATCCTACTATGGTTTACAGAGTGCGTTAATCTTGACTTATTCTTTTTGAATTGCTATTTTTCTGATTGCAATGAATGACAGACTCAGCTAAGCATGAAATTCATAAATAATATAACTATGTGTACTCTAGTAGTGAGAAGCAAAAATGATTTAGAAAGTTCAATTATCCTGAGGTTTAATGTTTCAATACGTCATCATTTTATAATTAAACTTACAAATTAGTACATGATCTGTGATTTTGTTCGTCTTTGTAGATTCGGAATCAGCTTAACTTCATGTCTTCAGCAGTTTTAATGGGATCAAATGCAAGATGCGAAGCAAGCAGAGCAAGCACCATCCAGTATGTCTACAGGCATTTCATGCAAAATTTATTATTTCAGGAGGCCACGTTACATTTATTTTTATTCTTTTCCTATTCTTCCACAACTCGTGAATGTTGCTGTGTAATATTTATTTTGCTCTTTGTATCACACTGTTTTGTGGTAGATTATGGCCGATATAAAGTATTGTATAAAAAATATCCTATTAAGTCGGGTTGGCTATGTGAATCCTTTTTTTCCACTGCGTCCTATTGAGTTTCGTACTGTCATTTAATTCTAATAAATTAAGATCAATTTTTACACAACATGCCCAAGTCTTTTTAGGTTATGTTGGTGGGAGAAATAATATAAGCGGAAATGCAGAACATTGATTCAAGAGATCTGAAGCAAAACTTAGAACAGAAGCACATAAAGTAACTAAACATAAGAAAATACAAGAACACCAAAATTTAACTTGGAAAATCCAAGCACATGAAAAAGCCACGAAACCACTTCACACAACAATAAAAATTCTACTATAAAGAATGATAAGAAATGTCTAAGAAGCTTCTCTACAACTTGGAACACTCGGTTGCTCCTCTCCCTCTTCCACACAAGATAAATTGTAAAATCCTTTCTTCAACGCATAGACACTTCACACTTACCCTTCCCGCATCATAAGGGAAATATAAAGTCCCGAATTGTTGAATTTGGTTACAGGCACCAACCCCGGGCTCTGGGTTTCCGGGCACATTGGTCCGGGCCGTCAAGTTTCCTGGCACGTAGGCATCCCCATTGTCATTGGGTTCCTGTCCCAGCCCCAGGGTGCCTCCTTGGGCATTGGGGCGCTGGCTGCTAGGCTCCAAGGAGCCTCTCTGGGTGCTGGGCGCCCTTCCTAGCCCAACCAAGCTCCACATCTAACATATCTGAGATGTGTTAGTTGAGAGAGCTATCACTCAACCACCTTTCTGAGGAAAACTGTCATTGCTTGATCCCAAGTCCCAGTTGCGAAAAGTGGAGGGTTGTTTTAGGTAATCGACAACCAACATAAAATTTTTTGTTGAAATACTATGACATCACCTTATGTAGTACTAAAACAAAAAATTAATAGTGGAGGATAGAGTTGGCCGTAAGGGTAATGCTAATGAGAAGTATGATGAGACACACTTGCTGAATTATCTGTCTTTTCTAAAGGATTCCGCCTCTTTCTATAATTCGCTGCTCAGAAGTGTTGTCTTTGCAAACTTTCTCACTGCTCAACATACCCATGAATTTTTTTCAGATACATGCAGGTTATTTTAATGTAATTTTAATTTTTATGAAGTGTGTTGCAGATAGGCCCTTATGATGGAGGGATACTCTGATAGGACTTTACAAAATAACCCAATGGAGGGATACTCTGATAAGACTTTATCAGGGTGTGTGAACTCCCCAGTTGCAAATTGGTTGTTCCATTTGTTTTTTTTTTAAATATTTTTTATGAGAAAACAATCTCATTTGTTTTTCTACTAACAATGCTTTCGCTGAAATTTTATTTTAAAGTTCTGCCCAATCTTAAAATGGAACTTACTATCACTTAAGGCAGTTGGTAAACATGCGTTTTGTACCTCTTACTAACAATGCTTTGGATGGACTAAGAAGAAGAAGAGTTGGTAAACATTGTAGGCTCGACATGCAAAATTTACAAACTCCATGAATATGGACGAAATTTATGCAACTTTGAGATGCTAAATCTGAATGAAGTCATTATACCTGAGCTGATGACGCCTCTTCACTGCTGCTTCCTCTTATCCTCCTAGTCATGGATTAATATTGTGTATGGGATGTAGATCTATGTATTATAGTGCCATTATACCATTTTAATTGTATTGCTTCATTATCCCATTTTATCAGGTTTGTTTTAAAAAATGGCTTCTTGTCTGTTGATGCAGAATGTAGTGCATAGATCCTTCTTTTGCCTATCACGTACTCCAGGACCCTGCGATTAACTGCAAAAGTATCACTTAGTTCATCACATTTTCCTCAGAAAGCTTTTTACTTCCAGCCACACAAATTTTTGTGATTACCTTAAGATCCTTCTTTTGCTTCAAGGCTTCTTAAGTTTTTTGCAACAATTTAATATTCTTCTACATCTTAACTTCTGCTGCTTTTTTGTGGTAAAGTTGAGTAATCATATTCTGCAGGGAAGTCTCTGAATTGACTGATATCAACTGGGATAATATTGGCTTTGGATTTGTTCCAACTGATTATATGTACATTGCCAAGTCAGCCAAAGATGGAATGTTCACAAATGGTGGATTGCAGCTTTTTGGACCTATTCAGATGTTGCCATCTGCTGGAATCTTAAATTATGGACAGGTAATGTCATTTCCTCATGATTATTATTTTTTAAACTTTTTTGATAAGTTCATTATTGTGTATGATTTTATTATTGCTAATACTTTATTCAAGAATAGAAATGAACATATTATTACTTATAAGAATGGATCTAATAAAACACAAATTGATTATTTTCTTATGAGAAGAAGAGATCGTCGAGAATGTAAAGATTGTAAGGTTATCCCAAGTGAGAATTTAAGTACTCAACATCAATTATTAGTTCTGGATTTTAAGATGAAAAATATAAAATAAAAAATATTAGAAATCATTATCATATAATTAGATGGTGAAACTTAAAAGACGCAAATAAATTTACTTTTATGAGTAAACAAGATTTCAAGATTTGAGACGTTCATGAAGAAGCAAACACTATGTAGGATAAAATAACAAACACTATTAAACAAGTGACAAAAGATGTCTTGGAGTAAGGGTGTAAAGCGAGCCCAGTCTCAGCTCCTGTTTGACTCGTTTGTATTTCGAGCTAAAAAAGTGTGGTACTGAACAAACTTAGTTTTGTTACCTTGTAGGTTTTTTGGATTTTTTTGGGAGATGTGTTGATTCCTATATTGAATCAACCTAGTCTTCATTATATTCAGGATCTTATAACCTTTTTTCTTATTCTAACATGTAGAAAGACACTTGCAGCTCCTTTATGCAAATATACATACATATACATACATGCATATACATATACATACATGCATATACATACATACAGCATCAAAGATACATGCATACATATACATACATACATATATATACATATATCGCATCAAAGATACATACATATACATACATATATATACATACATGTATTGACAACCCTGCCTTGGAGAATCAAAATGAAAAGTTTCTATAAATAAAAATAGTTTGTGATAAAATAATAATGTGCAAGAAAATATAAAACATAAGAAATTATGTTATGAAAATTGGTTTAAATGTAAAAGCTTAAAGAACTGAGAAAAATATAACAGATTCGTAGGGAGTCTTAAGAGAATAGTCGGTGACGCTAAAAATTATGCTTTTAGTGATCTTTGTACTAAATTATATACTAAAGAGGATAAAAAATATATGTATAAATTAGCCAAACAAAGAGAAAAAAAAGTTAAGATTTAACTCAAGTGTATTAAAGATGAAAATCAAAAAGTGTTTTTCTTAAAAAAAATATTCAACATTGATGGGTGAGTTATTTGATAAACATTTTAATGAAGTTTCTGAAATACGATCGATTTTAGTGATCTTAATATTATTTGTAATAATAAAATATTTCATTTTTACCATCACATTAGTATTTATAATAATAAAATATTTCATTTTTACCATCGCATTAGTAAAAAAGAAGTTGAGGAGGCTTTAAAGAAAACCGATGGTGGAAAGTCTGGAGGACCTGATATCCTAATTGAAGTTTGAAAATATTATGGAGATTTGGGAGTTTCTTGGCTTACTAAACTCTTTAATATTATTTTAAAAACTAAAAAGACGCCTGAGTGGAGGAAGAGTATTTTGGGGCTCATTTTTAAGAATAAAGGGGATGCACAAGAGTGTTCAAGTTATAGAGGAATTAAGTTAATGTGCCATACTTTAAAATTATAGGAGAGGGTAATTGAGCATAGGTTAAGACGTAGTACAAAGATTTCTCATAATCAGTTTGATTTTATGCCGGCAGATCTACCATGTAAGCTATACATTTATTTAGAGGTTTGATCGAGAAGTTCAGAGAGTAAGAAGGATCTACATATGATTTTTATTGAAAAAAAAACTTACGATAAGATTCCAAGAAATATTCTTTGGAGAGTTCTAAAGAAGAAATGTGTTGATATGACTTTTATTCATATCATTAAAGATATGTATAATTGAGCTGTTACTTGTGTTCAAACAGAAGAAGGATTGATCAACTATTTTCTTATTACAATTGGATTACTTCAGGGATCGACTTTAAGCCAATATCTTTTTGCTTTCGTTATGGATACTCTTACTGGAAATTTACAGAATAATGTACTTGGGTGTATGTTTTTCGCTAATAATATCCTTCTTGTGGATAAGACTAGAAAAAGAGCTTAGGAAAAACTTGAATTATGGAGGTCTACATCAGAGTTTAAAGGCCTTCGTTTAAGTAGAACTAAAACTAAATATATGGAATGCAATTTTAATAGCAGTAGCTCTAGTGACAACTTTGCAACTATAGGTGATCAAATTATTAGAAGGTGTGAACGCTTTAGATATCTTAGGTGTATTGGTCAAAGTGATGATGATATAAATGGGGATGTTTTTAATAGAATTCAAGCTTATTGGTTGAAGTGGAGGAATGCTTTCTGCCTATTGTGTGATAGAAAAGTACCGCTTAGACTGAAATAAAAATTTTATAAGATGGTGGTGAGACTAGGGTTGTCAAAACGACTCGACTAGGGTTGTCAAAACGGCTCGTTATTCACAAATAACACGTGCTCGACTTGTTTATTAGCTCGTGTTCGATTCATTCACTAAGCAAACGAGTCGAACACGAACAATTTTTCTTGCGCTCGATATATAAACGAGTCGAACACGAACAAAGTTTTGTTTGCTCGTGTTCGTCTCATTTTGGCTCGAATATATATATATATATATCAGCGGTAGCGAGCTTTGCTAGGGTTTCGCCTGATGAAGATTCCCGTCAGTGAATCTTCTACTTTTCTCCTCTCCGTTGTCTCCCATGGCGACGACTTCACACGCTCGCAGCTCTCAGTCGACGACGCTCGCTCGCAGTCGTCTTTCCACTCGACGAAGCTCGCTTGCGTCGTCTCTCTCGAGTCGATGACGCTTGCTCGCAATTCGTTCGCACGTCATCTTCTAACCTGTCGCGACTCTCGTCTT